GGGATGGGGGGGGGGGGAAGAGAGAGATATTTTGCACCATTCTAGAATCACACATAAGGCATGGATGGCTAAGTATGCTGAGACAAGGGTTTTACAATAAATTTAGCATAGTTAGCTTTGAAATCTTTCATCTGACTGCAGTCATCTACATGTTAAATATACAAATTCTAAGATGACTTCTAGTTACTTGTCCTCTTTCCAAGTATCAGCATCATCCTTCTCAATTCCTATGAGAAGTTCTAGCAACAAAAATACCCAAGACTTGTAATACTTCCAGACAAGGACTTAAGTTTTCACTAGTTTCTTATACAGAGGTAATTTCCATTCTTTTTGCATACTTTTTGGGTATTTTTTATTATTTTACTGTAGTGCTTTAAAACTTCAAAGATATGGGACTAGAAGCCCAGAAAACAATTATATGCCAGCTTAAAACTATGCTTACAATTCTATGCCCTCCCTTTTCTGTTGCTGATCTGCTCACAGTGGTGTTCAGATGTTTATTCCCTTGCTCTGTCCCAGATTCCAAGCTAAATTGTGGCCATCTGGTATTGGTAAACCCTATTCAGAACATCAACATCATGCAGGTCAACAAAGATTTTGCCAACTGTTTTTGAACTTTATAGAAGAGCTTATGTCAATGTGGCTCTTTGCAGTTATCTAACAGATGATTACATTCACTTATGGTATGGTCCTATTATCTTTAAATGATCTATAGAATAAACTCGTTCTTACTTAAGTATTTAAGAATCTTGTATGAGCCCTATTTAAACTTCCTGATATTATCCATTCCATAAATTATGATGATGTAAGAAAGATTGTACTGGTTTAATCAATTCTGTTTTCTAACACTGGCAAATAAGGAGTTTATAGTGAAGAGTACAGAAACTGCAAGAGGTTAGCATTCTATTCTTTTTTGTAACTTCACAAACTTCCATCAGTCAGTGGTAAAAGGATCTCTTGAGTTTCATCCCTGTATTTATTGCTAGAAGACCTAGAAATTTCTGTAGGAATCATTGTTGCATATCCCCTGGCAGTTGGCCGTATTCAAGACAGCATGTAGAATGAGTTATTTCAGTGAGTGTAGTGGTTTTGCTTGACTTAGAGTAGGTCATGAAACACACAACTTACCAACACCAGGTGGTATCACCAGCCTAATGATGATTTTGGGATCGGTGGCTAGATACCCCTTCAGTCATCTCTTTTCTTTATATGTAAGTGTTCTATAAGCAAAAAAAAGCACTTTTTTTTTTTTTTAGACTGAGAATCATAGCAAAAATTAGCATGTCATGAATATGTGTTTATGCACATTCCAGTTTTGATTTTACTAATTTTCTAGTTACTCCTAAAACTCTTAATTGCTTTTTTTTTTTTTTTTTCACTACAACTGAACTGTATTTGATGATCTTCATTCTTAATATATTGTAATATTGAAATCCTGTCTCTTGAATCAGTTGGTTTTTGTCTTGGGTGTGAGAGAGTAAAGAATTTTAGAGCAATCTCTCTCCTTCTCATCCTACACCTCTCCTTAGCCTTTTGTATCATTGTCTTGAGTTTTGATGACTAGCTGCCTGATAATCTCTTGTTGTTACTTGCACTGATTTACATCTCTATCTATTGAATAATGACAATTAACAAAACTTAAAATACAGATAGCCTTGTCCATTGGTGGGAAAGACCCCCAAAAAATAGGGAGGGAGGGGAGGGAGGGAGGGAGGGAGGGAGCTAGGAAGCCAGGCTAAGATTATCTTAATTTTAAGGGACAAATATATAGAGAGCGAGCATGACTTGTGGTTTGTTCAAAATGCTGTGGAGATGCTAGACTTCAATGATACAGAAACATCTGCTGTAGAGATTTTGTAAAAAGATGTGCCTTTTGGATGAATTGCCATGCTGTTTATCTATGTGCATGTTGGCTTCTCCAGAGAATATTGGTAGATAGCCTAGGCAAACCTTCCCTTTATAAAGGCTTCTCTGATTATTTCCCCTTATATTCCCACTATGCTTTCTCTTTTTACATGTTAGAAATGTATGTCATACTGCAGAGAAACTCAATCCTCTTTTTCATTTGCTGTTTGCATAACTGAATCAACTTATTTTTCTTCATAGATAGCTAATGTTATAGGATTGTCTACATTAGAACAATAGGTCATATTTTGAAAAGGTTAAACTATTAATGGCTCAAATAGCTTGAAAAGCAGTAGGAAAAAGGAAATTTTGATATGTTTCAATACCAGGAGAAACTAAAGCAAACTCAGCTTAAAGGCATAATATTGCTGGACTCAAAATCATTATAAAAAACATAAGTAGAAATAATAAAAAAAAAAAAATAAATCAGGAGATAAATATTTCAATTAAAAGAAAATTCTGTAAAATAACATCAAAAAATACTAGTAATTTGAGCATTTGTGTTTGAATGACTTGTGCATATTTCTCTCTCTTTAAATATATAGTAGAAGAGTAACAAAGTCCCCACATTTGTGGCTTCTCCTGAAGAAGGTGTTATGTGAAGAGATCAAGAAGTAGTAAGCAAACCACACCAAAAGTAATGGAAAAGATTGAAGTTCAACACCCTCTAAAGCAAGCTCCATTGCTCTGTGAGTATAATGCTTGGTTGGGGGTAGGACCATACCATGCTCTTGGATCTGGCTGCTTGGACATCAGCAGCCAGTACTTCATGGAAGAGCTAGCTGGGGAAACGACAAGGGGAGAAACAGCCTCACATAGGGTTTTCCTCTTGAAGAGAGTCATGTTGTGAGAGCAGCATAATGTGCTTAAGATTAAACATCTTTACAACTAGCAAAAGCCAAAAGAAAATTAAATAGGCTACAATATGCAGTATTGAAAAGGGGGAAAACTTGTTAAAAAGAAGAAAATGAGGGCAACTAAGAGAGTTGAATCTCTGTGAGTTTGAGACTGAGGGATACTATATGTGATGGAGAAAAACAAAAATTGAGAAGAAGCATCTGGCATTGCTAAATAGCTGGTGTCAGGTCCCTGGGACTGCACCACGAGGCTCTAAGTGCCCTGAGGAACTGTGATGGCACCCACAGGGCCGGCCCCTGCGGGAGGGCTG